TTCGCAATTACGTCATTTTCAAGGTGCGTACGTAGCGCACGTGCGCCAGTGTGCGCATGCACCGTGGAAGCTACGGATGTTGTTGAGGGGCAAAACAACCCCACAAAAGTGTGTATGCGTGTGCACGTATTTTTTTTTTTAAGACGGTAGTTTTTCTTGGGGACCTTCGACACAAAAGTTTTGGTCTGTCTGTCTGTACATTTGTCTGTTTGTCCATTCTTAACAGCATTGGGTATTTGAAACAGTCGACTCCCTCCGTAGCGCCCACCTATGTTGCTCAAGATTTAGCGTTCATACTTGTGCAATTGTTGATTAAAAAGCAATTATTGCGCGTGTCCGGGGCAGCATAACAACACGTATATATTCTGCATGTGCGCCTTTTACTAGAAAAGGCATGCATAAGTCATTTTAAGGACCGTAGCACTCATCACTTTGCGCTGACCATCCAACGCTTGCACGGAAAGGCGTGTGTTTCCAACGCTTTGCTAAAACGAGACGGTGGTGGCACCTACCCGTCGCCTTGCGTTGTACACCTTATCATCTCCGAGGCGGGCGCGCACACCCGTTTCAGAGCCACGCGTTTTGGTTTTGAAAAAAAAAAAAAAAAAAAAACTAACCAACAAAAAACTGCCAGATGGTGCTCATGTCTCACTCACATGTGATTTGATTGATTTGTAGGGTTTAACGTTCCAAAACCACCATATGATTATGAGAGACACCGTAGTGGAGGGCTCCGGAAATTTCGACCACCTGGGGTTCTTTAATGTGCACCTAAATCTGAGCACACGGGCCTACGACATTTCCGCCTCCATCGGAAACGCAGCCGGGATTTGAACCCGCGACCTTCGGGTCAGCAGCCGAGTACCTTAGCCACTAGACCACCGCGGTGGGGATCACTCACATGTGACGTGACTTGGTGCGCTCACAGAACACCTGTGCGCTCGTTCGCCTCCGCTGCACGCTCGAGGCACTCTAACCCAGCGCCTCCAGAATACCATTCACCAATTTTTTTGAGCCGAACATCAAATAAATGTTTTGTTCTCTTTCCTTACATGCAAGACTATCACCTTTCGACGACATTCGCAGATTAAATGCAGATACGGGGCCAATTTGTTTTTCTTGGGGTTTGAGACTCAAGGGTGAGACCGACCGGTCTGCCCCCCCCCCCCCCCCCCAAGAGCAAGCATATATAGTCATTTCACAACGCAGCATAGGCTCCCAGCCTCCCTGCCCACCTGAAGGAACTCGCTTGTCTTTTACCAGGGGGCCCCCCTCCTGGTAAAAAAATCCTGGTGCCGCCCGTGCCTGGCTGACGGCAATGACAGCAAGGTTAAATAATCCAATATAAGCTACTGAATGGCACATACATGAGCCATACGGACTGACTGTGGTACCTCTACAAATGGTTAATTGAGTACGTAATATAACATTTATTCACCCACTTGAAAAGGAAGAACAGGAATCGTAGACAACTGAGGCACTATGTATAGGGCTGACTACTGCAGGCAAGACCATTGGACCATTATTAGCACCCACCAGCACACATTTTGGTGAGTATACTCCATTGATGTATACATTGTCCTGGAAAATCAAGTCATAAGTCCCCCCCTTTCACAACAGAACTGAACCTTAGTCCACATACAGTTACAGTGTGAACACAATAGAGAAAGATGTTTTTTAAATACCTTTGGGTAAGCATTTTTCTGATGGAGCCATAGGGCCCCTCCTGGTGGCAGAGAGAGATATGCCACTGCGCAGTCACTATAGCCAACGACGGGGAATACTATGGCCATGCTACACCGCCGAAATGCAATTTGGCAGTTATTGTTCTGCTCACAAAGCTTTGACTGCAGTGAACAACTAATACAAGAGAAAGATTACGAGGGCACTGCAAGTACAGCATATGTTGTCCAATAGTGTTAAAACAAGTGCACTCGGGAAATTCTTTGTCACAAACCATTCCAGTGATGATGTTTACGAGAACCTGTTTGTCTATACTTTTTGGTCCACGTTTCTATTTAGTCACACACTAGTTGTCGCATCTCGGCCAACTCTCTGTTGAAGTTCCTTGCGAGCATTCTTACTGACTACGTGAAGCGCAATACAAATTCAATGGCAAGGACTACCATAGAAATATTTTTTAGGTGCACTGCTAGAAGCGTCACAGTAGTGTTGCATGACAATTTGCAAACTGTAGAGAGGGAGCACAAATGAAAAGCTGGCATAGGTAACTATAAAAACTGTGCAAGAAAGACAAGAAAGAGAGAAGTCACATACACAAGCACATGCTTGTGTGTGAGCCTCCTCTGTTTCTTGCCTCTTTTTCGTACAGTTTTTGTAGTTATGGATTACCACCTACCACAGCGTTCAGCCCTCTTAACTGGCATAGATATTGGCATGAAAAAAACTGTAGTATAGCCCTGCACTAGCACAACACAGATGGCTCAGCACATTGCATTTCAAGCAATGCTGATAAAGCTTTCTGGCACAGAATTAGGCGTGTGCCTTGTGTCAAGCAGCCAATTGGATAAAAAACAAGAAAGTGTGAAACTTTAATGAAGACAAACAGCGAGGTACACAACAAGCAGAAAGTTGGTTCTTATTACATACACAGAATAAGCAACTTATCACAGAGAAAAAAAAAAGAATAGACTAGATCAACTCCCCTAAACGTGCAATATTAATTGGTAGAAAATTACAGGAGGCATAACAAAATGCGCTCCGATTTTCGAACGACTGAATTTACTGCTTTGCTTAAATTTTGCCTCAGTTTATAACTTGTGGTGCTTTTCAAATGCATTCTTGGCAGGAGTGTATTCTGAAATGCTGTTCAACCACTGCTTGGCGGGAACAAAAAAATCATAGGCCCGATATTCCTGGCGTGTCTAAATAAACAATGAATTCACTTTAACCGCAAGATGCTCAAACTTATTGCAATCACTGAAGTACGATTTACACACACATCACTTCTACTATCGCACACAGTCACTCCAGTGTGTCCCGAAATAAATGCACACCATTGCTTTCAGCAAAAACTTTGGAGGGCAGCTGAGTACTCTGAACACCCTGTAGCTCATATTAGCTTATAGGACAAAGGTTTTTTTATCGGCTCACCAACATTTACAGAATGTACAAACACTATCTTGGGCAGTGCGATTGGTCGAACACTGCAGCAAATTAAATCAACGATTTCACGGACAAATGAGTAGAAGATAACTGTGGAAATTCAGACACATTTAACAAGATACGCTTGATTAAATCGTGGCTTGACAGTGTGAATAGATATGATGGGGACAGTATAAGGACTTTGACAACAGGCCACAGAAGAAAAGCCGTTGACGGGATGTGCTGCGACGTAAGACATGTTGGAGAAAGACAAAGGCTGAAAAGCAACAACGAGTGACAAGAAGCATCAAATTAATAACAGCACCGATTGCCAGTATCACATCAGCTTTCCATTGCATTGCAAAAATTATAGAACAGGTAGTGATCCCAACCAACAAATGAGTGTAATACAAACAAAATACTGTGCAGCAATATAACGAGAGGGCAGATGTTAACAGTTAACAAAAGGCTGCAAACAAAGAAGCAACAAAAACAGCCTCAGAAAAGGATGGAACGAAAAATTCGGCTAACAAAACTACATGAGTATGCAAGGTGGAAAAGTCCAGTTGCAGGAAACGCAGGGAAAAAAAAAAAGCAAAAATCGTCCTTGAGTAGCAGTAAGGCAGACTTTCAGAACGAACAGAGCATAGACAAAATAGTGTTTTAAACTGTTGCTTCGGGGGGAAAAAAAAGGGGGCTGCTTACTTTTGCAGGGCGAACATTTCTCACTTCTTGAACCAATTTCCCTCCATGCCCTGTCTAATGACAGGCCAAGCGGAAGCGTATTCACAACATACTAGCTCTCAATCTCTCACTCAAGCTATGGTCAAACTTTGCGGTTAACCTTGTTGCAAGAGAGCCGAGTCTGATAATACAGCTTTGTTAAGACCGACACTCTCCATAGAAGTTTACGTGTTGCACTGTAGACAAATTCACATTTACTTCGTTGCATAAATAATTCGTTATATCCATGTTACGCCGAGCTTAGGATGTACCTCGTTGAAATGACTTTGCATTTGATACTGGAGCAAGCTCCATTATAACCAGCATTCTTTTTGTAGCGATTGTTTGTTGCACTGCACTCGCGACAGGATGCATCTTCATTTAGTTTGTTATATTTCATAACTACTTATTTCCGAGCTAGCTGCACCGAGTTTCGACCAAGGCTTAGTTCCTTGAACGCAAGTGATGAGAGGGGCTATAACAAAACACTGCAAAACCTTTCGCAATGCGGCAAGAAAACATTCACAATCTCTGGCCAGAAGCTCCATAGACACGTCAGCCAAACATTGGTCTGCTGACTGCAGCTTGAAGCCCACAAGGGGGCAAATTTTTTTTCGCTGTCCCTCAGCTTTGGTGGTGAAGCCTCTGCGATGTTCTCCTCACGACACCATAGAACGACAGCCCACAGATGACAACTACTGGACAACTGTTCAGGACCAAAGTACTCCAGAGCGCTTTGCGCATCCATCTAATGTCCCAGTAAAGGGGGAAATAGCAGCTGGTGCATCCCTTTTATAAAGCTTCAGATGACAAAGCTCAGCTTGTTTGAGGCAAATTATTGCACAAGAAAGCAAGGCATGTAATGCTGGACACTCAAGAATTGCGTTGATCTGCCAGGTTTTCTTCTCTCACATCCATGTTTGCAACTCCTGACGACGAATCCTGTTCCTCATCTTGTAACTACGACGAATCCTGTTCCTCATCTTGTAACTACTTTGACGTACCCTGGTAACCTTGTTACGTGTAGTTTTTGAAATGTTGCCATTTGATGTGTTATAGATAGAAAAAAGAGAAAAAGGCACCGATAAGCTTGGCATTCACCTTGCCATAGTTGAAAGGTAAACTTGCATCAAAGAAGACTCAGATCTTAGTTATCACTAGGCTCCTCTTGAAAGATTTATTTGATAATATATATTTATTGAGAGGTATAGCCCTCAATCCAGCACGCCCTTAGCTTTAGGAGAAGAGAAGAAGGCTCTCAGGAGAAAAAAAAGATGCCAGGAGTGTTCCCAAGAGTTTGACACGTTACGAGGACACACTACAGGCATACCTGACCGACCGAACAAATAAAAAGTCAACACAAAAGCCTTTGTCTAATGTCTGGTCACACTCAACCTACAGACGTTTCTCTTGGCGACTAGAACACAATTCTTTCTCACAAGTCCAACACATCATGCTACACAAACACAAAGGATCGACACGCCAGCATGAACCGAAAAGCACGTGCACGTGTAACAACGGAACGTAAAGGTCACTCGTCAGCGTTACCCTTCTTTGCCAGTAACACATCAAAGAACAAATTGCTCACGAATCGGCCAACACACAAATGTCTCGTGTTACTGAACAATTGTTGGCACTCTCATAATGCCTGTCATAAATTGAATACTCTTTATTCGCTCAAATTCGCTCACAAGCTGTAACAATAATGTAAAAACTGATTGACACATAACTCCGAATGGTTATAAATGATCACGAGATTGTACCAAAGTTGATGCCTGCAATGATGTTCTCACACTTATGTGCACAATTTCCCATCTGCAAGCAGAGCAAGCTCATAATAACCAAGATCATTGGGGCAGGAAAAGAAGTGGGACAGTGTAAATGAAATTTTCTTTAATGTCATAGGAATGCTGCGAGTGTGTGAAATTATAGCTGGTTTGAACCGTGGCCTGCTAGCAGCTGCCTTGGCTGTGAACTAACGCCACCTGATACACAGTCAAAAGGAAGCATACGACAGAATGGCCTTTACAGAGCCATCGGCTTATCGGCATTGACATCAAGTAATATGATAGGGTCATTGTCTGGGTATCACCGAGTATCCCCTTTCACAATGCCCACTCCGCACTATTTAGCAAGCCAAATCGGGTGCAGCCTTGCGTCTAATAACGGCGTGCCGAATGCATGTGTTGCGTGAACAACTGGATCTGTGTACAGGTGCACTTCATAAGAACTGATCTTGTTGCAGAGAGGGCTTGCAGAAGGAGGCAGTAGAATGTACCTGTTATGGCACTGCACATTACAGATGTTTTCAAAGCTTAAAAAAAAAATCTTTAAAGGGCCTACTCAAGCACCCTGCAACGTGGCACGTCATTGTGTTGTTTCAATTTTGATGCGACACAAAAAGTCTTTTGTGGTGTGTTCGTATTTTTTGAGCTGCACTGCACCGAAGGCATTAAATGCAGGCACAACAAATGGGAGGTACAAGTTGTAATGTCCTTGACACCCCTTCATCATCTCAACTTTGTATCGTAAAGTAGCCTTCTCGTACAGGGGGCAATGTCAAGTACTTTAATTGAGGCGGTTAACAACACAGTTAACTAGATGGCAAGCGGACACTGTTGTGCATGCCAGCATTGTAGCCAGAGGGGCGCTTTCGGGGCTTTAATCTCCCCAACCATAATTTTTTGCATTTTCAACGTGTATACATAAGCAAACACACAAGTATGAAAACACAAGAAGGGTCCTTCTAAATGCGTAGATTCGTCTACGTTCAAAATGAAAACAGCAGAAATCAAAATCTGACATACAAACAGGTATACCACATTGGACATGTGTATATCACGAGTGTATGTAGCACACCATCACAAGATCATCACTACCACGGATGAGGTGGAGGCTCAGAAAAAATAGCAACATTAATCCTCAATACAAGGATGGCATTAAAGCGGCACTGACTCCATACTTTCCTTTTTACACCAGGTCTTTCTCTCTCTCTCTCTTTTTTTTACGCACATGCTAAACCTTGCCATGTTTGACGATTGGAATACTATCGTCCGACCATTCACTCCCATGCCCTTGTGAAGTACCTATGCCTTCACTAAATCGCCAAGGTCATCAATTTTATCACACTAACCATCAACTCAAGAGAGCCTGATCATTCCCGAATGATACGTCTGCATCTGGACACAGGCATGAAAGAAAGCTGAAGCAAACGAGACATTGCGTACCCGCCGAGAATGCAAGGCATGTCAACAGCAGGAGAAACGCAGATGGCACTTTTGTTCAACTCGTCAGTTTTCCGAGTTGGCCGCCCGATTTTCAGGTAAGCTTAGTCATTTGCCAAATGCTCATCAGAGGAATACATGCATCTAGTAGGATCATTAAGTGCTGATCATACTGGCATTAACCTATGCCAAATTGTATGCATAAAAAAATGTCCTAAACAAGCCTGGCTGACTACTTGACCTTGATCGTTGTATCCATGGAACATATCATTTGCTGCTACACTTCTACACGAATCAAATTTGTTTGTAAATTTGACACCGGATTTCACCTTGTCTAAGGGTGCACAATTAGAAAAAAAAATAATGATAGATCTTTTGAGTGAGACTAACACACCAAAAGAAATTAGGTCAGGTGGAAGGAATGAGCAATATGGCCAGTTTCCCCCTCCCCATTTTTTTTGCACAAAGTAATCTCACTCAAAAGTGCGAAAAAACTAGCCTGCAAGAATGTCCCTCTAAATATAAAACTTCTAGCAGTTGGCAGTTTCACAGATTGGCCCTAGGCTAGAGAGATTAAATGAAAAAAAAGTAGACGAACAAACACAAAACAAGCCCAAGAACAAGCAAATGGTGATGCAGTCTTTCTGGACAGCTACATTTGGTTAAGAAAAGCTGTGGTAAAAATAGTGCAATGCACATGCTGTACATGTAATGCTGAAATTGCCTTCTTATATGTGAAAAGGCAAAAAAAAAAGTTAACATCTGAAAATATGGCATCGGAATTTTATATTCCACAGGACAGTCCTACCAATGAAAGCTACAAAGGTGCTGCTAACTGCTACTATCCTGGATAGACCCAAGCGTCAAATGCACGTCCCTTTGAACGAGCAGATCACAATGCAGAAACGTACTACCGGTTTGGAGAAGTTGCGAGAATAATGGAAGAATTTCAGCTCGCATTTCGCGGCTTCAAACACACAACACAGGACACATCAGAACGTGGCGGTAAACATAACCAACGGCTGACCAAGGCTACAGCCAACTGCACGAAGCTTCGTGGGCGGCTGGCTTCATTCACTACAACACACATCACGCGTGCGACAATGTTTGCATAAAAACAAGCAAAAATTACCTATGGACATCAATGAGCAACACCGAGCTCGTACGCCTGACAAACCAAAATTAATTCACTAGGACGTAAAGTTGCAGAACATGATCAAATGGTGTGTGGAGGCACGAAAGGAGAAATTACATTCAGGTCCGACATGTGATTCCTGTGGAAGAGTTCACAATTCGGAAGTTTCTGCTGACGCGATGCAGAGGCGTGTCCAGCTTCGAGGGAAGATGCACCGTGAAACAAGTGCTCCAGATGACTTCTGCGCGCTTCGAACACTAGCACAAGTGCTAATGCGAAGTGTCTCGGCCACAATGTGCGCCCAGGCAACCGTCGCAGAGTCACGTGTCTGCCACAGAGAATGCAGCTTCACCACACTTCTCCAAGCAAGTTTCGGAGCTCAGAAGCACGAGAAAAACATCAAGAAAAAACACGTGTACTTATACAACATTTTTCGTCTGTGTTTCAGTCTCCGAGCCGCATCTTTGGCTAAGGAAATCGGTGAACGAGCGAGCAGCACTGGGTAGCAATGTCTGCCTCTTCGAGAAAAGTTGAAGTGGCACGGTTCGTTTCAAAAGGCCGTCTGCGCATCTTCTCCTACTTTGTCGGAGGTTGATGCCAGCCGCCAAATGCCTTCTCGACTTCCCGTGCCCCATCCAAGCACAGGTGGTCCTTGTAGAAGCCGGCCACGACTTGCACGCCGAGGGGCGTGCCCGTGGTCGGGGAGATCCCAACGGGACACTGGCACACCGGGTAACCGAGGACGTTGAAGATGGCCGTGTAGGCATAGTTGAACGGTTTGAGCAGTGGCTGGTAGTGGAAAGGCGCCGGCTCTGGATGTGACGGATAAACGAATATGGCGTTGCCAGTACCGAGGAGCACGTTGAGGCGGGCTCGCAAGTTGTCGGCCTTGGACAGGACGCGTGAGAGTGCCGGGTGGCCGCGCTTCGGTGAGAGCCATTCCAGGAGGCAGAGAGCCAGGGCGGGTAGAGTGTGCGGCGAACGGCCCAGCATCCAGCGCACAAGTTCCCGCCATACGCGCACTTTCCCCTGCAACGAGCGTAACAATGCGCACATAAGAGAGAGAAAGTATAAGAAAGGCAGGGAGATTAGCAGTGTGCATAACATTCCCTGTGCAGAACGCACCGGAAAAAAAAAAAAAAAGAAAGAAAGACGCCGACACGCAACGGAAAACTACTCAGTTGCACACAGTGCTTTTTGAAGGTGAAGTCATTCCCCGGCTTGCCTGTGTATGGCAACAGCAGCAAAAATTACGAACCAATGTTGGAACTCTACAGTTGGCGCAGACATACACAATTCTGCTGTACAGGAAGTTCCTACAACCTTCATTATAAGCGTATGACGAAAGCCTGTTTGGTCGAGATGAATCTTGCTCAAAGAAGTGACCCAAAAGCATGTCGTTAGAAGAAAAGCAGTTCAGACAGTACAAGAGAAAATGCAGAATAAAAAGACGACAACCTAGCATTTAGATGGAGGGAGTGTGAACAGTTCTTTATGCACACCTGTAAAAAAAGAAAAAAAAAAGGAATCTATGTTGCACACCTCCTTTCCAATAAAAAAAAGTACAATTATAGTTAACACATTAAGCATGAAGGTGAAACAACATTCATGGTGATGGCAACAGCCTTTCGTTACAGTGGTCAGATGCAGTGTCATCGCCACAAAAAATGTCGATGGAGCACACTGTCACATGTTCGTGTAGGGTAATTTCATGCAAGACAGCAGAATCATTGAATCGTGTCTACTTCTAATGAAGTCCAAATGGTAATGTGCTGCTTTCATGTTGCACCGGTAAGTCAAAGCATTGTTGCTTTCCGTAACTTGCATGTAGACGATTAAAAATCATATTTACTGACGTGAACAGGAAAATATCCCAACCTGAAAGACAAGCTTGAAAACTTTATAATAAACTCCGGTAGGACTGACCTTGTCAAGTTATGAACCTTGAATTGGCACATGATTGAAGCATATTCAGAGTAATTTAGAGCAACAAAACTGAATCACAGAAGATAAGAAACTGCCAGGAGAATAAACTTTCTATTTTATGAATGCAAATTGTGCTTCTCTGTTTCTCTAATCGTCTACTTAGTTAATGAAGGTTTAATGATATAAATTTGGCATCAGCACATATACATAAAACTTACAACTACATTTAAGCTTGCAAAATTTTGGTGCGAGCTGGGTGTGAAATATGGCTTTTTTTCTAGAACAATACCATAAAAGAGGCGTAGCATGAGATGGAGGCAGTGTAATAGTGAATTGTATGATCAAGGTCTCTAGTAGACTATTCCTATGGGGGTTTCGCCAGGACAGAACCGATTCATAGCAAATGTGTCAAGAGCCTTGAAAATGTATTTGTTGAACCATACTCATGTTTATTTTGATAATGTTAGAGTGATCTTTGTATATGTGTATATACATGTGTGTAACGCATTCTTTTATTTCTAGTTATGTTTTTGTCACACCCCTACAAAATGTCTGTATAGCCAGGTAAGTAAGCTGTAAATAAATAAATAAAATGTGCGTTGTTGTATGGCCCGAGGATGTACGATTGACATTTGACCATATACGTATAGATATCTCTCACATTTACCAAGAACTGCCTGGGAGCCGAAAGTTGGGTGCATGTTTTGGCTCAGCATACCTTTAGCAGCGTCAGTTCTGCGGAAAAGGGAGGCACGGCTGCAGCCGCCAGTCTTGCGGTGAAGATTTGGGCCGAGTAACGGAACTCTTCGAGGGCAAGCTCGACCACCGGGCTGCCGTACGTTTCATGAAAATAGCGGGCCACCTGCACAAAACAAAGGACAAGCAGTGGTCTACATTTGTGTAAAAAAGTTCGCACGGCCGAAATGTATGTAAACTCAACCCCCATATAATGAACCCGAATATAAGTAAATATCAGTTATAACAAAGTAAATGAAGAATAGTATTGTAATAAAAATTGTGTGAAGAATATACCTTTATAACAAAATTTCTCATATAACACTTATTTTAGTGTAAGATACAACTTTGTCGTAATGACGTTTGAGTGTATAAGGTACTAGGAGCTCAAATCTGGCAATTTTATATGCTAGCTTGTCACGGCACAAGTTAAGTAATTAATTAAAACTCGGACTATAGCCCCAACCACATTTATGTGTGCCACAGGAGACAAAGCAGACACGTGTGTTTCCTTCTTTGCCTAGATAGGGAGCAACGTTGCTCCAACAGTGACGCCATATATGGCTAGGGTTCGGTATTTTTCCTGTCCATCAACAAAAACCTATAAGCCACACCCATTGGGCAAAGCTTGCCACTCATCAGCTGTTCGTTTAAAATACTGTAGGGAACATACGGCCCGCAAACCCCAATTGAAGAATGTGCATGAGACGCCTAGTGCACGTGATTGGCCAGACAAGACGACTCATGTCAAGGCAAAAAGATGTATTTTACTCAAATGGAAAGCTTTAAGGGATACGTTAAATTCAATTTAGAGTTTCTTGGCAGATATTTAGATTTCACTTGCAGGGAGTGTGATTGCCTATAGTTGAAAATTCTGTGCCTGCTCTGTGTTGTGTAAAGCAGCTTGGCTGGTCATGTAATGCAAGTGGTGGAATGGCTGCAACTTATTTGGTAGTGCCACCTTTGTGTAAAGACCTTTTCTTTTTTTAAATACCAAAGGTACATGCATGCTTTTCCTCTCACCTGACAACCCTTTTGCTAATTGTTTCATACTTCAGCTCATCTGTGGCACCTTTTTCACGCATGTGCACAAAGTAATGTGCCACTTCACATACTTGGCCCTGTACCTCGCCACTTTGAATCCACAACGATTCACTGTACAACCGAATCTAAACGTCGCAAAATAAGTAATGTGCTGCAAGACAAAGCTGGCGTTCGAAAGAAGCGTCCCAACAGCCCACCTTGCGCACGGCGTCTTTCATCTCGGGGTGGACAGGTGTGCAGAGGGTGCCGCCAAGGTCGTCAACCATGTAGTACACGGTCATCTTGGACCAGTCCACCTGCGGAAAACGACGATGGCATCAGGTCACTTGGTTCAACGTCCTTAACACCACGAAAAAGAGTTGGGCAAACGCCTAGTTGAAGGGAGCAGCTTTTGTGTTCATTTCTACCGCCACTTTTCAAGTGCAACAACTGTACTTGCATTTCGCTCACTCCACTTTTTGCCAGCTGGCACCACATAGCGCATGATCTTAAGCAGACAGCTGACCAATTATCTCTTACATACTACCTGAAGGTATCAAATCTGCGGGAATGAAACTCTTACTATGAATGAAGGATTGAAAGTGGATAATGAAGCCGAGGAGAATATAGGGAACAACAATTGTACTGTTTTAAGTGTATTATATGATTACGATATATATGCAAAGAAAGTAAAGCAGACGAAAAGACGAGAGGAGAACTGGCACCACAGCTCAATAGGTAAATGCATTGGGTACGTAGTCCACAGGTTGCAGGTTTGGCCTCCGACAGCAACAAGTTCTCATATCGTCCACTTTAATTTACTCCATTATATATATATATATATATCAATATATATATATATATATATATATATATATATATATATCAATTACAACAGTACAATCACTATTGCCCATACTTTCATTGCTTAATTATCCACTTGTTTTAGTCGAGGCTGCACAAACTACTGTACGAAAAGTACAGTGGCTCGAAATCTACACTACATGTGTCGTCAAACAATGCTGGCTTCATTATTGCATTACCCACCAACATATCAACATTTCTCGAACATCATGCTCATGAGCTGCGCAACAGCAGCAACACTCACGGAAGCATCTTGTGATGCAAAAAGATAAAAACCAGATAACCCTGTCGAATAATGCTGCAGCGACTTTCTGATTCTACTTTACTACTGGCTAAAGCACCTTAGCGACATACAGTTGTTAGTGCATTTCCACTTTCTTCAATGAGAGCACTCAATAGGTACAAAATATTGCCACACGTGCTCCTTTCTTTCTACTTTCAAGCTACCGCCCCATTGCAATATAACTGTTCCCTTGCACAAAGTGTGCCAGATAATCTTAGAATTCTCAATACATATTAGGTGCATGACGAGAACATTATAGTTAGTTCTGGAACTTACGCGGTCACTAGCGATAATGCTGGAACCTTCGATAATACATGTTTAAAAGGCGATGCGCTTGGCCGCTTGTAAGTCTTTTTGACAACCAAGCGCTGTTGGCCGAATAGCTGTACAGCATGCATTGCTTGCTCTAGTTTGAGTTTCCGCTTTGCAGCCACAAGGTCGGCCAAATAAAGAGTTTTACCTCAAAAAAGCAGACTGCTGTCTTCGTCTACGGCATGACCACGTGACAACATATCCCAACACACTGTACAAATTGTGAAAAATCTCGCAGGATGTCACCGCTAGCTTTGCTATTGCTACTCCCAGCTACAGTGCACTGATAAAGTGTAAATGATGAAAAGCTTACGGAGACCCTAAGATCTTCTGCACCGCTGGGACTAACATTAAATTGTTCCCCACATTTTATTTTAACTGCTCTCTCACCTCAGAGTTGAATGGCACCATGGACGCACGGGTACCCGCCATGACGGCCAGCATGGGTTCGAGGTCTCGGGCATAGCGGCACATGGGACCTGCCGCAAGGCAGGCATCCAGAGATTCGTCACGTGCCGGTGGATACTGCCCCTTGTTTGACACCAGACCTGCGTACAGCAAGCATACAGCCACCGTTATTCAACCCAAAGTACCTAAACCGGTACAGTGGTGGACAACTTAAATACGAAGAAGTCTGAGGTAACTTAAATATTTTATTTCGTTTTTATTTTTATCGGTAGGCTTATGATGTTGGCACAATCCTGCCTTACAGACTTAGTAAGGAACCTAAACAACCTTTTGCAACCAGATAACTACCAACAGGAGGTTGTGCCCTCGAGTAATTTCTTGCGGAAGCTGTTCCATGTCATAATTGCCTGCTCACGTTTAATTTTTCCATGACTATCCAAGATCTTCATAGAAGTGAACTTTTTCTGATTACGCCATCTTACACATTGCTGAACCTGGCTGCTAACGTCTTTCCAAAGAGCTCTAGTAAAGAATTGAAAAGAACTACATTTCTTATGCTGCAGTTAAAGATTGGTCTCCCAGCATAACTCTATGCTACATGTTCACGACTATCATATAGTCCTATAATACTAAAGATAGCGCTCTGAAATGAGTGGCTTGTGGGTACCGTACTCTATAATACTTGCACACAACCGCAAGAGTACATGAAAGTGTACACATGTGCAAGTTTTAATTATTAGACTGTTAAACTCTGTGACATAAAGGAGCCGAGATCGTGGCACTGGGCCATGTTTTGTAGTGTTTTGTTGTTGCAGGACGTCACAGTAGCACTGCTTTTGACACAATAGCAGTTCCAGTGTCCGGTGCTTCGAATACGCGCACTGTATGGTCACGCGTCGAAGCGAAGAAAAGTTCAGGAAATTTAGGGTGTCCTAACACTGCAAAGTCAGGACTTGGGACATTAAATGAAAAATTTTGAATTGTCTACCCAATTCGAGACAGGTGGCAAGGTTGTAATGGCACCGAGCAACCCGACGTGCAACTGTGAGCAAGGAAACCTCAATGCTGAGAAATGTGTTTTAATTACCTCTTGTTGGCTTGTGGCCAAAGATGCCATTGAAGAATGCCGGCATCCGTATGCTTCCGCCGATGTCAGTCCCAACACCGAATACGGAGCCAGCACTGGCAATGAGACTTCCCTCACCCCCTGTGTGGTGATATGTCGTGTGGTGAGAAATGGTCGTGAGAAATATAGCATCGCACTTGCAAAATATGCACTATGAACAGGCCACAGGTAAAAGGAATGAAAACAACAAAAAATACATTCATATGGGAACAGGACAGAGATGAATCAGAAAGGAACACCCAGCGCTCGCATTGTTCAGTCTTCCTTTGTGATCAGTCTCTGCGCAATTTCAATATGAACACAAGCCAATGAGCCCAACTCTCCCTTTTGCAACAAGTACATTATAAATTTGATTAGTTTCCCAATTTGCAATTCAATTTGCAATTGTAACACACTGCATGCTCTTGTTAAACGGACTCTGAAGGGACCAGAAAGCTCAGTTTCCTTTAAGATGAGTTCAGTTTAATGAGTGTTGAACGTGGGTGCTGAACTCAAGCGTGAAACCAATCCTCTTAGAGTCAGTTGTTCCATATATGCTGTTTTTTATTAGATATATTTCATTTTATCAAGAGTCTACAATATCTGAGATTGCACTTAATTGCTTATAAACAGGGCTGGTTTATACACGAGAAAATACGGCAGAAGGATATTTCCACCTGCCCATATGTGCCAATGCTAAATGAGAGTTGACGCTACCGTGACAAAGCAAACATGCAACTGTGTGAGTGAGTGCAAACTGACCACTGGATCCACCACAGATGCGGCGGCTGTCGTAAGGGTTGTTGGTGCGCCCGTGCAGTTTGTTGTACGACTCCCACCACATGCACAGCTCGGAGATGTTGGTGACCGCCAGCGGGATGGCACCGGCCTTGCGCAGTAGAGCCATGCAGTCAGCATCTTGCGGTGCACGGAAGCCCTTTCGTAACACCAGGCCAGCGTCCTGAAGCATGCCTGTGATTGAAAGAATACAGTGGACATTAAGTGGCAGTTTTCGTCGGCGTGCTGATCAGAAAAAGAAATGAAGCTGACTTGTTAGCGAGTCAGTGTAGAACAGGTCAATGTAACAGGGCATAATGAAATCAGCGCCAAATGAAATCTAAACTGTGGCAAGCATTGGAAACGATATTGTGCACGCCATCCAGTCGTCACAATTGACAGACGAATAGCACTCTGATTTAGTAGCACTGCATATGTCCATGATGACGACTGGACAGAATGCAATATTCCATTGTTAATGCCAGCCGCTGTTTCAGTTTCATTTGATGCCTACAGGTGGCACGTAGAGAGAATGGGCCTATGCCTACTGTCACTGAAGGCAAGAAGAAACAGACGACAATACCCAAGAAGCAAACATCACTGCTTGTGAAAGTTTTCTTACATTGGAGTGAATTAGCGCATAATCATAAAGTGAAGTCATCGCAAGACTGACCTTTGACAGCATAGCAGTTTTTGGTTGTCAGTGGCACGCCGAGGAAGGGTTTGTCCTTGGCCAATTGCTCAGGTGTGACTGTACCGGATGCCACGAGCTGGTCGGCAGCTTCAGCTTCGGCTATGGCTTCCTCGTACCGGTCCTCCACCACAGCATTGATCACAGGCTGCACGTCTCGCATGCGTCGAATGTATCGCTCAACTAGGTCGACACTCTTGAGCTGCATGAAAGAGACAAGAAGATGAACTAGACGGAATATGAGCTCAAGTATTGCAAGACCTAAAACTGTAACAACATGCTTCCTGCATAACAAGGCTCCGTTAAAGCATGCTGAACAAGTAGGAAGCATAAATTCTGAGATTTTCTCTTTACCGCAATAAAGGCCAGAGAAGTTATTTGCTAACGTTTTACTAGAGTACACGGCCTCCTAAATGTCCACATTTTTATTTATTTATTTACAGTATACTGCAGTCACAAAGGACCATGATGGTGAGAAATTATACAGTTGCAAGTTTACAAGCACAGATGGAACCGTAGGACACACAAGCTCACAGGAGAGTGACGCATATATAAGAATAAAACAAATATATTGGCAAATCCCACGTACAGAGGAAATCAATTATATGGGAAGCACGAATGAGGAAGGTTGATAGGTCACTTTAAAATCAGCACCATATCACGAGGTGGAGGTAAATGATGTCTTACATGACTTTCGTGTCATGATTATCATGTTTGGATGTGTCGTTTACCTTTGTCATCTATTCACATCACGTGATACAAAACTTAGTATATGTGGAGCTAGCGAAACGGCCGCGAGCACGCTATGAGCGTGGTATGTTTTCATGTTCTTACATGACATGCATGTCAGGATTATCATGTTTCAACCAGTCATATATTTCATCATCCATGGACGTCACGTAACACCAAATTTGGTATATGTGGAGCTAGTAAAACGGCCACGAGCGCATCATGAAAGGCTCAATATACTCCAATGTAGCGTTGATGCGCACGCAAAAGCTGGGAGCAGCGACGCTACGTTAGCAAAACACGAGCACTTATAGTGTGAAGCCAGGCGCGACCAGCGTCCGTCGGCGCGGCCTGACGGCAACCGGCTCGACATGCGACATGCTGCACACATCGCGCCGATGCATTAACCAGACAACACTGCACCTCCCTCTTTTCTAGACGGGGGGACGCCGGATACGCTGAAACGTGCATGCGTCAAAGCAACGCAGCACGGCACGCGTCTGCGAGTATATGGTAGGACCGGCGCCTTGCGTGGCAACGCCGACGTGACGCGACGAAATGAACGCAGGCGAGCACGTGCACCGCGTCACATAAAAATGTATTGGCGTCTTGACTGTTGCATGTAGTCATGTTCTCACATGACATGCATCTCATGATTATCATGTTTGCACCAGTCACATACATTTGTCATCCCTGCCGTCGCGCAATACCGAGTTTGGTACATGCGAAGCTAGCAAAACGACCGCAAGCGCATCATGAGCGTAGCATGTAGGCATGTAGTCATCTCATAGTCATGTTTACACCAGTATCATACCTTCATCATCCAAATGGATGATGAAGGTATGAACGTCCCGTAATACCAAATTTGGAATAAGCGAAGCTAGCAAAACGGCTGCCAGCACATCATGAGCGTGGCATGTAGTCATTTTGTTGCATGACGCACATCTTATGATTATCATGTTTGCACCAGTCACACACCTTTGTCATGCATTCACGTACCGTAATGCTAATTTTAGTATATGTGAAGCTAACGAAACGGCCGCGAGAGCACCATGAGCGTGCATGTAGTCATGTTGTTACATGACACACATGCCATCATTTTTATGTTAGGGCCTGTCGCTTGTGTTCTCCATGCAATCACGTCATACTATACCAGTTTTAAACATGCCATGTGAACGAAACCACCGCAAGAGCTACAAGACCATGAAATGTAGATTATGACATACATGTCATAATTTTCATATTATGACTAGTCAAATATGTTCTTCATGCAGTCATTTTATGCCATACCAAGTTTGGTATCGATACCATTATCGAAACGGCCAGGAGAGCTAAAAGTCGCGGGCGGGCAGACATATTGAAGAGGAATGCCCACTACCGCAGCGACATCGACACGTTGGCGCGAGGCGCGAGCTGGGACTGCCTGGTTGCTGCTGCGACGACGCCCTTTCTGAGCTCTTTCTGCTTCTGCCCTACCACCCCGATTCCTCGAAGATGCGCCCATCTCTGAAGCTGCCCGCCGCGCTGAGGAATGCCATAAGCTCGCCCAGTCGTTCACAACCATCAACAAATGGAGACAAAAATCTCGGCGTGAGGATAACCACCCGTACCCTAACTTTGTTCCGGACACCCTTGTGTGGCTTTGGGTTCCAGCTGTCCCTACAGGCCTTTTTTCGAAATTCGTTTCAAAATATCAGGGGCCCTACCGCGTTGTCTCGCAGACTTCACCTGTTAACGACATCATCGAACCCGTGACAGCATCCACAGACCAGTGCTTTCGCGGTAGTGAAACCGTTCTCGTACAGCGGTTGAAACCATATTACAATCCGCTCGTACTCAGTTCTCCGTGAGTCGCCAGGATGGCTCTTTTTCCGACGGGGGAAATGCCCACTACCGCAGCGACATCGACACGTTGGCGCAAGCTGGGACTGCCTGGTTGCTGCTGCGACAACGCTTGTATATCCGGCCAGCTCTTGCTGCTTCCGTCCTGACGCTGCTACCGCTTATCGCCTTGCATTTACATGAATAGATTAGATAGATTAGATAGATAGATAGATAGATTAGATAGATAGATAGATAGATAGATAGATAGATAGATAGATAGATTAGAAAGATAGATAGATTAGAAAGATAGATAGATTAGAAAGATAGATAGATAGATAGATAGATAGATAGATAGATAGATAGATAGATAGACAGACAGATAGATAGACAGACTCAAAGTCGCCGAAGTTCGCTAAGAAATGCTTCACATAAAAAAAAAACAAGAAAACATCCCCGTACCTTTGCTAAGAAAGTAATACTCCCATAATCAAGTGCAACATGCAACTGCTGGCAATTGTAAAAAAAAAAAAAAAAAAACAAGAAGCTTTCCCTGAAATAAGTCTGTGTGTATATCCAATATTTGCAATTTACGAAGTGACACTTCATAAAAAACATAGTCAAAAATGACAAAACACAGAAGTGAAAGCAAAGAGACAACACTCAGTAGTTTACTGCATTTATAGATGAGTAAGTAGCACAATTTCAAATATACTTGCAGATTCTAAAGGAAATGATATTTTCAGGCAGAGAATTCCAATCGGAAATGGTTCGTGGAAAAAAAAAGTACTTGGAAAGATTAGTGCCGTTTGCAGGAAAATAGATTGCGCACATGTCGATTTCTTGACGTAAGTGACAAGAATGGCTGAAGATGTGCACGCACATTCATATCAAGTATGTTGTGATAAAGCAAGAATAAAAATTTAAGTCTTGACATTTTCCAGCGCTGCTCTAAGGTCGAAATCTTATTTGCAAGCACGACATCAAATGCAACGCGATGAATGAGTCGTGACATTATTATGCAAGCCAGGCATGACATGAATGACTAAATTAAAACTGCAAATTATGCTGCTTCAGGATAACCAAGACACTTTCATGCTATAAAGACACCAAAAGTGGAATGCTCAACAAGTAATTTCAACTACCAGCAGTTTTCTTATCTTTTGCCTTACAGTAAAACACATTGCGTGGCTGTCTTATCGTATCTGGCCCTGTCAGAACGAAACCACACTGGTTAGCAGATTAAATGCAACTTAAACCAAGACCTTTTTAAAAGCTAGCTTTAAGGCCGAACAGAACACACGGATCTTTTGTACGAGGTTCAACTTTGAATGGGACAGATGTGGGGCCAAACGAAGACCGGCTTGTGAGCTGCTCTTACGAAAATGCCACCCAAGCAATGCGGTTAGTTACACGACACTTCCTCATCTACTTCTCTGATGAAACTTTGCATGACAGCCCCAGACAGGAAGCTCATTTACTTTCAGTGCATACACAGTCTTCCCGGTTCCTATCATTTGGGGTGTGGTGATGCAATGACGCGCGATATACACGGAGTGACTGGTGCTTGCCCCACTTTTGAGACCGGCCCCAACGAGTGCCAGAAGAGACGAGAGATAGCGTTCTGAAATTGTGAAACCACGCAGAGCAGAATTGCGAAACTAGATGGAATTATGCAGCAAGCCAGCATTACTCGCCGAGGAAGAGTCAATTGAGCATTCCCGCTGTGTATTCGGTCGTTTCACTTTTGTCGGACTGGCAGTTTAGCATGTTAAGCAGCAGCCTTACACAATGTTTTTATGATGGGTGAATGTCTGTATGGGTGAATTTTTTCTAAATGCAACAGTTTGTCAACGATCCCTTGTCTGGCAAGTGGTTTCCTTTCAATGGCACATTCAGTAGCCTCCCTCACAGAAAGAAATGTGTGGACATGGTAATCTCTAATTGAAAATAAAGAGGCAGCATTTTTTATTTTCTTTATTTTTTGCTGTCATCAATGCATTGACAAGTAGAGGTACTCCGATACTTATGTTGAAGAAAGGGCATGGCAGTCAATGAATTAATCTACATCTGCACCCAATCTATGCGCATATAGACATATGTCAATCCTAACTAATTTGTGAACAATCCAAACTAACTTGTGAACTGCTGCTAACAATGTTCAGTGAAGCCGATTCAAGCATTCTTTTTCTTCAAAAAGGCACAAAAGCTCAAAGAAAATGCAAAAAAAAAAACACACACATACATATGTGCACACAAGACGTGTATAAGAACACAGAAAACTTCCCTCACAACACTTGCATATCTGATGACTCAGGGGCTGACATTTCTTTCAAACCAACATACGATTTCTTTTTTTTTAAATATTGCTTCCTCGACCTCTCAGAAGTTCATTGTCTCCTCTATCTTCATAGTTTTATCCTTATTCGTCTTCTTATCACTCGCTCACAGGTATGAATCACAATGCAACAGGAAGCAGCTCATGCCTACAAGGCGCGACTGAGCTCGCATTTACATTCAGACGCCTGCAAGAACAGGAAAAAGAATCTGCGTGACGAGAAAAAAAAAAAAAAAAAAAGCTGCAAGTCTTTCCAAGCCATTCCTACAACCCTCAATCATGGCAATTTTCCCATTGTGTTAGCATCCGTATGG